TATTAGGTAAACCCGTAAAGTTAAGTCAAATAAATTACTCAGACTTCCTTAAAATAAACTATGTTCAGTTATGATAGAAGTAGGGATGTCTGTATTAAAAGCACCGCTTCATTAACATGTAAACGACATTTGAAGTTGCAGCTGGATGAGATAAAGTTATTTTAACTACTTAAAGAACTATAAAGTAGTTTCATCATAAGTTTTTAGGAATTGTTTTTTTAAGTAAAATCTGAATCAGTAAATAACTAATAAAAACTAACTGACATTTTTCTTGTAGATTAATCAACGCACACAATTGTGATACAATCGTAACGTTTCCACAATTATTGACTTCTCAATCAAAGGTAGAATTGAGGAAGAAAATGTTCTAAAGTGTTGCTTGGTGTATTAAAAGTATGCAGGATATAAGAGAGGGTCCAATTCAACAATACAATGTCTTCAGTCATGTGTAATTGTGTGTGTATGGCTTCCTATAAACAAGGCAAATTTAAAAGATATCTTTTTTGAATGGAGTTTGTCCCACTTGGATGCAGTACCACTCACCTGACACTGGTGATCATGGGGGCGCTGTTCGATCTGCGGAGTGCTCCGCCCCCTGCCCCGCCAGCTGCGCCTGCGCACTGGTCCACTTCCATCCGTTCCATTACCCGTGGTCCGTAAGGCCCGGCGGTGGCGGTGGCAGCGCCAACAGCCGGCCTCCGACCTACTGACGGCGGCGTCGGGCTCTAACTCAAGCCCGGTGGAAGCCTGAACCCGCAGGCCTCTCAGCGAGCAGCGAAAAATAAGATACGAACAAAAATACACTCGTGACAAAGTTTTTTTTTATTTTAATGGCGTCTCGTTAAAACTCCCCCGTCGGTCTTCGGCTCTACCGTGAAACTTTTTTTAATTCCGAGTCCGCGCAGGTGACGTGACTTTTTAGGGATTAGCTGTTGAGCTAACTTGGGTTTGCAATACAAAAAAAAAACCTCCAGTCCAGAAGATCTAAAGCAGCTGCCCGAACAAGTCGCACCGGAGCCGGTCGCATAGTCCTCATGAGACTCGGTCCACCGAGCAGACCTCCACAAGAGTCCCGGAAACACTGTAGAATTAACAGTTTGAAAGATTTTCACAACATAAGAGTCTCCTTGACTCAAATAGAGGTAGTTCAACAAACTGTGGAAACAGCGCCGCTCTGTGGTCACACAGGGGACTGCAGCGCAGAGCGACGGGAGGAGTGAGAGAGTGAAGCAATAAAATCAGTTTAATTAACTGTTTAATTAACGTTTCTCCTGTTAGGACTTTAAACTGCTGATGTGGATGTTAACAGAGCATTTAATAGCACCAATACAACACTTTGGTATAATATCTTAATTCATTTTTTATGTTTTTATAATTGTTTAAATTATCGAATTTTATCCTTTTTTAAATTTTGAATTTTAAATTTTAACCTTTTAATATTTTTTTCTTTTGTAATACTCTATAAATGTGCTACGTAAATACAGCTACTAATAGTTTAAATATTTAATATTTAAATAGGTCAAATACATGAAAGTATTTGTTTATGTAAAACTGTTACACGAAAAATAAATATTAAATTGACGTAATTATTCCCTGGGAAGAACTAAAGTCTGATCCTAGCAATTAAAAGCATTATGCATTTAATTCATTTTTTTATTTATTAATAAATTCATAATTCTCTATAAAATGTCAGAAAATGCTGCTAAATGTTCAGCAGAGTTTCCCAAATGGTTTGTTTTGACCAAAAGTCCTGAATAGTTGCAGATTATTAATAATCGACTCTGGTATAAATGAATTATTTGAACAGCGCTACTCTGAAACTAGAGAAGTGATTACAAAATGTCTCAAAGTTTTGGTTGGAATCAAATCAGAGTCAAAATATTCCAAATATATTAAAGAGAATACGCTCACAATAAAGAACATTCATAATTTAATGTTTCACAGTAAACCGTGAAACCTGAGCAGATAAAGTTCACTATAAATAAAATGTATTGGATTATTATAATTATGAATGAATGAATAATAAATTTGAGTCCAGAGGAGCTGTCAGATATATCATGAGAATATTATTATTAATATGATTAATATTACATATTATTATTATATATTATTATTATATATTTATATTATATATTATTATTATTATATATTATTATTGAGGTTTTCTTTGTTGTCACAGAATCCTCAAATCCTTCATCTGCTCTGAGTCATCTCCAAAAAATGGTGAAACGAGACGCGCTGTAACCCCTTCACTGCCTCCAGAGACCTGGACCAGAGAACTGGACCAGAGACCAGAGATAGACCACAGACTAGAGACCTGGACCAGAGACCTGGCACTCAAATAATATCATAAATAATAATAATAATATAACTCATATAATAAATAATAATAATATAACTGTATATGTACTTTAAATTAATTAAATACCTTTAAAACTACAACACAGTGAATGGCTTCAGTGCCCGCACTTAAATATTATTATGTAAATCTGTAATTAATCAAAGTTTAAAAAGACAGTTTTTAAGTTCATCTAAAAGATTACGATGCAAAATTAAAAAGTAAATCAGATTTTGATATTAAGATGAAACAAACAGAACAGGCAGAAAGAGTTTGAGATCATTTCAATGAATGTAGTCGTTAACTATTTATTGTTTATAAACTTGTAAAATGTACATACAGTGTCATTTAGTAGAAATATTATCAAGCCATACTCTTATTAAATTCACTGCAGCTGCTTTTTTTAAACGGCCGGAAATTGGCGACACAGCATACGTACATAAATAAATAACAAGCTTATTTAACTACAGTTAAACTATTAACAGTATTGTTATTACATTTAAAGAAAAATATAACTAATTTAATGACTATATGCGTGAGAATAAGGGGGTACTCGGTCTCTGACGTCAGTGTTCTTTAACGGTTCTAAAACCGCCATCTTTACATTTTATTAAATTATTTTTTGTGGCGGGAACACGTTCATCTAGACAAAAAAAACTGTACTCACTCGGCCGTTACTAGTGTAATACTACATATTACTATATAATACGTACTTAAAACTACTACTAGATCAAGTACACGTACTACTACCGTTCTTAACTACCGGTAGCGGGAGCTGCCTGATGTTTTAACCGTTTAAAGGCCTCCGTCATTCGGCTGAAGCCAAGAGGTTAAAGTGGGAAGAGCGGAAGGGGGGAGAGGAGGGAGGAGGACGGGTGAGGAAGGAGGGACGAAGTGGAGGAGGAAGAGTGAGGGTGAGGAAGGAGGGAGGAAGAGGAGGAGGAAGAGGGGAGGTCCTTCCTCCTCCTGACGGAGTTAAACAACTTTCAGGACACTTAACAACTTTTCCGTTAATTTTTCATTAAAAAACGTCCGTAGCTTTCGCGCCGCGGTTCAGCCCCACACAGCGAAGCCGGCGGGCTGAAGTGACGGACGGCGACATGTCGGAGGGATCCGGGGCCGTCTGGATGTGACTGGTAGGCGGGTAAAAACCCTCCGAGGTGTACCACGCTGCTGGTAAACAACAGTGGGCAGAGAGGGGCTGTCTTCTGCGGGGAACCGGAGAGAGAGAGAGTTTAAACAACTTTAATCGAGATCTAAGTTTAGTTTGTCAAACTTTTAAGAAGTCTGTGACCACGACAATAATTAATACAAACTATGTGTGAACAAGAGGACCGTAAACTGTCAAGATAAGATCAGAAAATAATTACAATAAACATTTGACAATCTGGAAATTTTATTGCGTTTTGATTACTTTAGAAATTACTTTGTATATATATACACTGTATATATAAATATACACAAACATATATATACGTATTTACATATATAATGTGTGCGTATGTATATATATTTATCTAAGAGTTCAAGTTATACAGTACCTTAAACTAAGACACTAAATCACTTTATTTCTTCTTTAACTGTCACATGACTCCTTTGTTCACGCCGTCACATCTCAGTGTTAGTATCAAGAGGTTTAAAGAGTTTAATAACAGCTTACATCTATAATACTCAATAAAAGTCACTTAAATTACTTTCATAACACTTTGACTCATGCGTGCAGTGAAAGTGTTATTTTGCAGGTTTACAGGGTTACTGATGGTTATTAATGACATAATGGTTATTAATGACATAAGCATATGTTTCTACAAAGTTTATCAAGTGTTGCACAACAACTGTCATCTGCAAGATTTGAAGTTCAATTAAATAGAAAATAAAGTGAAACTAATGACGTTCACTTTATAGTAAATGTATTTCATTCTCATTGTTTTTATTATTTTAATCTCACGTCTTTGTTAAAACTGTTTGTTGATCTTGTTGTTTGTTTGAGGAGGATGGAGGGAGAGAAAGAGACGGCCGAGGAGGAGGAGCTTCATCATCACATCGCAGCAGCGGCGGCGGCGTCCTCTGTGGACCCCCAGGGTTTTCCCATCATGCACTGGGAGGACCTGAGCCAGCGGATAGCTGAGTTGGAGAAACAGGAGCAGGAGAGGAGGGAAAGGTCAAAGGTCAGCCATGAAGACTACATTTCCCATGAGGCTCAGTGTCCTCCTTTGTCACTGAAGAGTGTTTCTTATTTAAATAATATAATTATCATGTGATCTTAAATTCAAACTAAAAGGTGATGATATGTAAATGATATCAAGTCGTTTCTGCTGAAAACAAACAAAAATAAAACTGAGCGCAGGAAAAACACGTCTCTATCGCTTCAGTTTGACGCTTTAGCATTGCATTGTGGGAACTGTAGGATCCGTTGTGTTTGGAGCTTGACCCAATAAATCACTGGAGATCCTTGTTATGATCTCTGTCTCAGTCTGTTGACGTCTGTCGAGCTGAGCCTCAGATATGACTTTAGATCAGACTTTAATAGTAACTTTATTATTATCAACTACACAAGTATATTTACAGAAATCATTGGATTTGCTGGTTTGAGGAAAATCATGAGTTTAAATGTTAATATTGTGATGATTGTGTCTCCCTGCAGAGGGGGGCGGGGTTGAGGATGGAGGAGAGTCAGGGGGGAGTGTGGAGAGACGTCTGGGAGGAAGAGGAGAAGGACTGTAGGAGGTGTCGAGTCGCCGTCGTCACTTCACGGTAATGCAGTTTTATTTATTATACATATTAGTAAAACAGTTTTAACTGATGATGTTCAGTTTTTGTTTGGTTTGTGATTCCACTCTGTGGTGTTTCTGCAGTTCAGGACGTCAGATGAGACGTTCATGGTTTTAGTATTAATTAAAATTACCAGAATAATAACAGTTTACAACAATGTTACATTTCATGAGAATATAGTGTTTGTCAGCAAGTAATGCATGAGGAGATGAGACAACTATAGTTTATAACCGTAGTGTATAACCGTAGTGTATAACCATAGTGTATAACCGTGGTTTATAACCATAGTGTATAACCTTAGTGTATAACCTTAGTGTATAACCGTGGTTTATAATCAGTGTATAACCATAGTGTATAACCATAGTATATAACCATAGTGTATAACCATAGTGTAAAATCATCGACAATTAAGTCCTTTTTGCAGCCCTAAAAAGTGCCACCAAACACTAACTGTCTTCCTGTTTGTTTATTATCTTTTTACAGATTTCACAACCACAGAAACCTGCAGCTGTGCTTCATCAACAACAGCGACAGTGAAGACGAGGAGGAAGGAAGCAACAAGAAGGTCTCTTTCTGTCTGGTCCACTGTGTTAATTCATCATTACTGCTGACAGTCAGGATCAATCTGGTTAAATGAGAATGAAACAGAACTAAAGTGCAATAAAGCGTACAGTCAGTTCTTGTTCTTCAGCTCAGTGGTAGAGAACCAGACCTTTATCTGCTAATGTATCTTAAAGTTACTGTGAGGAACTCTGGTGCTCAGAAACACTACCACTTTAGTCCACAGGGGCCGCCAAAACGTTTCTTGCAGTAACTTCAATATTCCCCTGTTCACCAGTCGAACTCAACACTTCCTCCATGTTCATAACGTTAGCGTTCCACTTTGCTTTTATACTCAATCAATGTTAAATTACCATGAATGAAGCATCCTACAAATCGTCTTCACTGGTAGTTCTTGTACCTCCAACTACGTCACAGTCACGTCAGATTATGGCGCTGGATGGAGGAACAACAACAGATTTTGTAGCTTTCTGGGTCACACCATTAGCTCTGTTAGCGCTGTTAGCACTGTCAGCTGAAACGTCACCATATTGGGAGCCGTGTGGAGGCAATCCCTCAATTATAGATATGATCTGACGTCAGAATTTAGCACTTTTAAATCCACTGACCTCATATCTCTTTACAGGTTTTCCATGCTGCCGGCCTGAAACAGGAAGTGGCCAGCGATCTGAGGACGCTGAGAGACAAACTGCTGGCTGAGCAGAAGGACGAGGTAGAAAAAGACAAAAACACAGAAATGTTATTAACAGAGGAACAGCAAACTTGTTGAAGGAATGTGGAGACTTAGAGCTGCAGTGTGTGTGTGTGTGTGTGTTGCAGCGTCTGGCCAGCAGCAGCTGTGTTGCCGAGCGGAAACATCTGGAGCGTTGGGAGCTGAAGGAGCGTTCAGTGCAGCAGCTCAGCAGCTTGGGAGCATCACTTCAACAGGACGTCCACGGTACACACACACACACACACACACGTTATAAACACTATCAAACCTCCTCATCCAGATGTCGATGTTGTGACCACCAGCTTGAATGTAAATACTACGTTACCCATGAGCCTCAGCTGTCGCTGTTGTGGAAAAGAAGCCAGTCAGAGATGTGAATCAGAATGTTTTGTCAAAGGACCAAAATATGAGGAGCAGGAACGTCACACATTTAAATTCAAACACTTAAAAGTAATTTAAACAAGACATGAAAGAAACAGAAAATAAAAACACGTTTGAAGTCCCAGTGAAAAGTCGTGTTTTGTTTTACAAGATTAAAAGACGATTGGATTTTGACATAAAAATACAAAGGATTGGATTTTTTGTAAATTTACATTTATTGTTTAATAGGTGCATAAAATGACCGTGAATGTGTTTTAAAATGGTTAAAAAGGCATTTTTCATTTCATCTCGACTTTAAGCGTAAAATATAAAAAATAAGCTCCAACATCAGAATACAAGATGACATCACTTATCTGACTAAAGTCAATACAACTACGCATAAGTCATTCACATTTGTCTAAGTTGAACCGTAGACTGTCTGTGGTACAAACAATAACGTCGTGACCGTATTTATGCCTAAATTAGATTTCTCTGGGTCTTGATGGAGCAGCTACAATGTTAGCATAGCCTAGCATCGATGGATCCAAACTCCATCGAGAAAACAAACAATTTAAAATGTTTGCTTGTCGTCCTGCGGGCAGACCTGACAGAGCATCAACATCATTATGTTGTTATTTTGGCATCTTTTTTATTGAGTTATTGCTAATAAATAAATTAAAGCTTTTGGCAAATAAACCCAAGCGGTCCCGCGGTCCAACTGTCCCGAGTAACGCAAGGAGAACATTCAGAGAACACGTGGTTGAGTCTTTGTCTCGCTGCTCTTCTTCCAGCTCTGAGCTCCGAGCTGGTGACCCACCTGGTGGTACGAGACCAGCTGAGGACGAAGCAGGACGCCATGCTGCTGGACGTCCAGGACCTGACCTAACAACCAGGACCACAGCCTAGGACCCCCTCCACATCAGCCTTAACATTTGGCCACTCTGGGACCAGGTCTGGCTGCTGGTCCACGTCAGTCATTTAACCCCAACTAAACGTTAGCAGAGTTGCAAAAGTGACAAATCACCAGCGTTCGGGGCGACAAAGAGGGAGATACGACCGGAGGGGTCTGGATAAGAGGAAGTCGAGCTACCTGAAAACCCCAAAAGCTCGTATGGCATCGCTCCGACTTAGAGACACTTTTCAACACAAGTCCGAAGAATTATGAGCGAAGAGAAGAAGTAACCTGGAAGTGTTTGGAAGCACCATCTCCAATCAGCCTCTGATGAGCGAAGAACTCATAAACATCAACAGCAAAGAACTCAGCTCCTGCAATCATAACGTCTTCTAGACGCATCTCCACGGTCCACCTACTAAAAGGTAACTTTGGTCATTTGTCAACCGGAACCATGTTTTCCATGTTTCTGTGTCTTAATGGGGACACGGGTTTTTAAACTGAGGGAGGACGCTGCGAGTCACGTGACACAATACCAAACAGGAAGCGGTCTTTACTGAAGAGGTCTTCTGGGCACGTCTGACTGGGAAGAAACCCCAGAGGTAGACCCAGAACACACTGGACGGATCATACATCTCATCTGGTTTGGGATCCACTCGGAGCATCTGGAGGACGTTGAGGGATCCTTCTGAGACCACGACCCGGAGAAGTGACAAAAGAAAAGGACGGATGGTTTCAAAATGACAACTGAACTCAAATGAGATCGTTAGAGGCGACATAATGTTTCACACTTTTAAAAACAATCAATCAACAACAATCTCGTTTTTAAAGTCGCTGGTTCGGTCAAATCGTAAATCTTCCACATTATTTTTGAATCAGATATCAAGCTGTCAATCATATCTGATAGAAACACACCCGCAGTCCCGATGAAGCAGATTAGCTCAAGTTAATGAATATTAAACGAGGAAGGTGAAGTCAGTACAGATCTCCACCAAACACTAAATCAACACCAAGCTGTCTGCCCGCGATGTACTCAGCAGAAGTACTGGTAGTCCCGTTAGCCGTTAGCTGTTAGCCAAACTTTAATCATGTCAGAACAGGATCAATGTGGAGTTGTGCGTACGTGGTGTTAGGAGTTGGTACGTTTGATCGGTGAGATTCCTCTCGGGTAGGGAACCTTCTTTGGGATCACGTTTTATAAAAAACTCACATTCAGAACCCTTTCAGGTTGTTTTCTCTTTATTCATAATAGAAACATCCAGATGTGTTCCTGACACAAAAGAGGGATTTTGCTTCCAGATGTTTATATGCAAATGAGGGAAACTAACTTATCTTATTTCAGTTCTATTGTGCTTCTTTACTTCTGCTTGTTATAATAAGAAGGGAACATAACAACACAAGAACTGAGTTCATAGTTTGGTTGTTAAACTTGTTAAACTGACATTTTGAAGCAAAAGGAGAAAAACACTTTCATTTAGAGTTTTGATTTATGATTTAATTACAGTCCTCTGTACCTCGAATACAAACTAAAACTATAGGAAGTAACAAGTTTATGTTGAATATTAACGGGTTATTTAACACATCTATCACATTTAAATGTTGCCTCTTTAACCGATGTTGAACACTTCAGGTACAGTCACATTATTGTTTACTCTGATAACACATTGAAGGGAACGATCCACTGATCACAGCAGAGTTTATGTTTATGCTTATTAATGTTGCTGCCTTCATCTGTTTCATTGACACACAGATGATATTTAGATCATTTAAAGACGTTTGAATCCAGATGTGATGTCACGTGAGCTGTGAAGGACACTTTGTGTATTTACACTTTTAAGACTTGGATAGATATTAAGAAGAGTATTTCCTGGTCCTGAGAAGCATTTTCAAATGTAAATAAAATGAATTACAAATGTATTTGTAAATGTAAAACATTAATTGTGAAATATATTTTAATGTAATGTAATAAATGTATTTTGGTGTTTCCTTTATTGTGTTTGGGGAGCAACTTTTAATGGAATATATTGTGTAGCCCTCTAATAACACACGTGTAGATACAGTATATATATATATATATATATACACACATATATATACATATACATATATACATATATATATACACACATATATACACTTATACATATACACATATATATATATACATATACATATATATATATAT